TGGGGGGGTTTGGGGGGGGGGGGTGGGGGGGGGGGGGGTTTGGGGGGAGTTTGGGAGTCCTGGGGTGATTTGGGGTTCCTGGGGGGTTTTGGGAGGTCCTGAGAGGGTCTGAGGGGTCTTGGGGGTGTTTTGGGGTCCTGCGCGGATTTGGTGGTCCTGGGGGAGTTTAGGGAGTCCTGGTGGAATTTAGGGGGGGTTTGGGGGTCCCCCGTGACCCCCGTGCCCTCCCCAGGACATGGCGGGGCTGCTGACGCCCACGGCCGCCCGGCTGCTGGTGGGGGCCCTGCGGGAGCAGCACCCCGAGGTGCCCCTGCACGTGCACACCCACGACACGGCCGGCGCCGGCGTGGCCTCCATGCTGGCGGCCGCCCAGGCCGGCGCCGACGTGGTGGACGTGGCCGTGGACGCCATGTCCGGCATGACCTCCCAGCCCAGCATGGGCGCCGTGGTGGCCTGCACCCGCGGGACCCCGCTGGACACAGGTGGGGACGGGGGCTTGGAGGGACACTGGGGCTTGGGGTGACACCAGGGGTTGGGGGGACACCGGGGCTTGGGGTGACACCGGGGCTTGGGGTGACACCAGGGGTTGGGGGGACACCGGGGCTTGGGGTGACACCAGGGGTTGGGGTGACACCGGGGGTTGGGGGGACACCAGGGATTGGGGGGACACCGGGGGTTTGGAGGCACAGCAAGAGTTTGAGATGTCACCAAGGCTTGAAAGGGACAATGAGGGTTCAAGGTGCCACCAAGAGGTTGAGAAGTCCCCAGGGGCTGAAGGGGACAGTGAGGGTTTGAGGGACACCAAGGGTTTGAGATGTCACCGAGGATTGAAGGGACAACGAGGGCTGGAGGGACACCAAGAACTGGAGGAGATGCCAGGAGCTGGGGGGACAATGAGGGCTTGAGATGTCACCGAGAGCTGGAGGGAAGACGGGGCTGGGAGGGGCCTCCAAGGCTCTGAAGGGACCACCGAGCTTTGGGGGACAGCAGGGGATGGAGGGGACATCGAGACCTGGCGGGACAACAAGAATTTGAGTGGCCACCAAAGGTCTGGAGGTGTCACCAAGGCTTTGAGGAGCCACAATGGTCGTGCAGGCGCCACCGGAGCCAGAACTTCATTCCCAATCAGTGGTGCCTCCACACCCGTGGTGTCCCCGTGTGTCCCCACGTGTCCCCGCGTGTCCCCACGTGTCCCCGTGTGTCCCCACGTGTCCCCGCGTGTCCCCACGTGTCCCCCGTCCCCAGGCATCGACCTGGAGCGCGTCTTCGAGTACAGCGAGTACTGGGAGGCGGCGCGGGGCCTCTACGCCGCCTTCGACTGCACGGCCACCATGAAGTCCGGCAACGCCGACGTCTACGAGAACGAGATCCCGGGCGGGCAGTACACCAACCTGCACTTCCAGGCCCACGCCATGGGGCTGGGACACAAGTTCAAGGAGGTCAAGAAGGCCTACACCGAGGCCAACAAGATGCTCGGGGACCTCATCAAGGTGGGGTGGCCCTGGGGGCTCCGGGGGGCCTCCACAGGAGGGTGGCCCTGGGTGGGTGGTGGCCGTGGGTGGGTGGTGGCCATGGGTGGGTGGTGGCCATGGGTGGGTGGTGGCCGTGGGTGGGTG